GTTCTCCAAAGAACACAAAGTACAGATCTGATGTACTAACTTCCTGGCAAGTAGATTTATACCTACTAGCAAGCCTGCTAGTTCTGAAGTAGTGTTTCTGAAGAACCTCCTTAATGTTTAAGAATTCTCCTTTTTCTGTATCCTCACCAGCATTTCAGTTTTTACTTTTGTTTTTATATTTTAATTTCTTTTTCATGATAGTCGTTCTTTCAGAGAGAGAGAGTGTATGTGTGTGTGTGTGTGTTTACCAAGACTTCAGACCTTGTTCTCTCAATCAGCTTCAATCCCAGCCTTGTGCTCTCAATCAGCTTCAGGCGTTTTCTCAATCAGCTTTTTCCACTCACAGTTGATGCTCTATTGCTTGAGCCACACCTCCACTTCCAGATTTGCTGGATAACTGGAACTAGTCTCTCCAAAATATGGCTGCCAGCACTAGCTTTGAAACCAGGTCCTTAAATCTCTGAGTCACCACGGCTGGCTCTAATGATAGCCATTGTAAGAAGAGTGAGAAGGTATCTCATTCGAGTTTCGTTTCACTGGTTAGAAGTGTAGGACTTGCTATCCATATGCATAATAAATGTGTATTCTATATCAGAATATCAAAGACATTCTTCACAGAAAAAAATCAGACACTAAACATCATATGAAACTAAAAAGGAATAGTAACTGCCAATCTAATTCTAAGCAAAAAAGAACAAAGCTAGAGACATTTTTATAACCTGATTTCATAATGTAATTCCTACAAAGCCATAGTAACCAAACCAGCATGCTACCAGAATTAAAATGGACTTACAATCTGAAAGAACTAAGTAGAGGATCCAGAAATAAATACTGTATTTACAACCAATTGACTTTAAACAAATGTGTCAAGAACCTGTGTTGGAAAAAGGACAGTGTTTTTCAAGGAATGGTGCTGAAAAAAACGGAAATTCACACAAAGTGAAATTAGACCCTATCTCTTACCATACTAAGAGCAGAAAAGGAGCCTGGCTAGGTCATCTAAGCAAAAGCTCTCCTAGTTTTTTTTTCTTGTTTGTTTTTCAGGTTTTGTTGTTGTTGTTGTTGTTTTCTTGAGGGCCGGTACTAGGGCTTGAAAAAATTCATGGCTTGGGCACTGTCCCTTAGCTAGTGCTCTATCACTTAAGCCACCACTGCATTTGCTGATTTTGGTGGTTAATTGGAGATAAGAGTTTCATAGACTTTCCAATCAGGGTTGACTTTGAACTGTGATCCTCAAATCTCACATACTGAGTAACAAGGATTATAAGACCCAGCTCTCAGAGGTTCTCCCTCCCTCTGACCTTGAACAGCCCAGTATGCAGGCCTGTAGGCACCACATCACCATGCCTTGAGCATTTTAAACCCTGGACATCAAGTCACAGCCCTTTGCCCTTGAAGACTTGCACATAAACAACAGTGAACAACAAGCAAATTGGACTACAGAAGTGTAGGCCCAAATAGGCATCCAGTCAGAGGGGTTAGAGGATGTTAAGAGAACATAAGCAAGTTTTAAGGAGCATCTGGTTGGGTCTGGGGAACTGATATGGCCTATAAGCTGTACAAAATCTTAACAGTCACCAGGCACAGGTGGCTCAGACCTGTAATCCTAGCATCTCAGGAAGCTGAGATCTGAGGATTGTAGTTCAGGAAAGTCCGTGAGACTCGTTTATCTCCAATACTACTAGAAAACCAGAAGTGGCACTGTGGCTCAAGCGGTAGAGCATTTACCTTAAGCTGAAGAGCACAGGGACAGAACCTAAGCCCAGGATTCAAGCCCCACAATGGACAAAAAAATAATCTTAAGAGTCATATAACTCTCATAGGGACAGCTTTTTCACCCTTCCACTAGGAGCCCAAGGTGGTTCTATTCCTTAAGATTCCTCCTGTCTAGCAGGAGCTGCTTGTCTTTCTCTTCAATAAACTTTATAATTTTACTTTTCCCTCTGAGTCTGTGCATGAATTCTTTGAGACTGCAGAGTTAAAGGACTTGACCCAGGTATTAGTTTTTCAGTATCAATATGAAAATCATTTCAAAAGGAACTAAATATTCAAATGTTAAGTCCCATAAATAGGAAATACAGAGAAAATGCTGGGCAAATATTTTGGGATATGACTGCCAAACTAAGGCAACATGAAAAAACCAAGCACCTATGGCTCATGCCTGTAATCCTAGCTACTCAGGAGGCTGAGATCTGAGGATCATTGTTCGAAGCTAGCCCAGGCAGGAAAATTGATCTCCAATAAACTATTCAGAAAAAGCCAGAGCCAGGCGCCGTGGCTCACGCCTGTAATCTTGGCTACTCAGGAGGCTGAGATCTGAAGATCAAGGTTCAAAACCAGCCCGGGCAGGGAAGTCCGTGAAATTCTTATCTCCAATAAACTACCAGAAAACCGGAAGTGGTGCTGTAGCACCAGTGGTATATAGCTAGCTTTGAGCTAAAGAGCTGAGGAACAGCGCTCAGGCCCCACAACCGACAAAAAATAAAAAAGAAGAAGAAAAAGCCAGAATTGGGTCTGTGGCTCAAGGGGTTAATGCTAGCCTTGAGCAAAAAAAGCTGAGGGACAGTGCCCAGGCCCAGAATCCAAACCCCATGACTGGCAAAATAAATAAATAAATAAATGGGACTCCTACCAATAAAACAAAGAAATGATCAACAGAGTTCAGACATAAACTGCCGAATGGAAGAAAGTATTTGCAAAATATACATCCAACCAGAAATAAAGATACAAGCTATACTAAACATTCAACAGCATAAATGAAAATATCAAAACACTCCAAATTACCTTGTTAAAAATATACAAAAACTCTGTATAGCTTTATTTATTTACTTATTTATTATGTTCAGGTAATAGGACTTGAAGTCAGAGCCTGGCTTAGTGTTTTTGCCATCCCTTAGTGTTTTTGCTGAAAACTGGCACTCTTCCACTTGAGCAACAACTCCCAGCTTTTTAATGGTTAATTGGAGATAAGTCTTCCAGACAAAGTGACTAAAGGTTGTCTTCAAACTTCAATCCTCAGATCTCTCTACCTCCTGAGTACCTAGAATTACAGGCAAGAACTCCCTAGTACCCAGTCCATTCATATATGTATATGATATATATACATAATATATACACACATAAGTAGTATTATATATGTGTATATGTATACGTATACATATATATGTAGATTTATTTAAATTTTTGTTCCAATCCTCAGGCTTGAAATCAGGGCCTGGGCACTGTCCCTGAGCTTTTATGCTCAAGGCTAGCACTCTACCATTTGAGCTACAGCTCTACTTCCAGCTTTTTATTGATAATTGGAAACAAGAGTCTCACATATTTTACTGCCTGGGCTGACTTCGAACCATGATGTTCAGAACTCAGCCTCCAAAGTAGCCAGAATTTCAAGCATGAACTACTGGCACCTATCCCATTTGTTTATTTTAAATGCTGTAACACAGCTTCCATTGCCAATAGGATACTGATGCCAACAGATTTGATTTACATAGTTTTTCCCAGATGCTTTTAAAAAAAACTTTCTTTACCATGGAAAAATGGTTTGGATATTATACCAAAATCCTTACATGATGTATCTACTGATCTATTTTGACATCCATGTAAATTTCTACACAGAGGGAAATTTCATCCACTCTAGGACAACTTGTTTTTTGTTTTTGTTTTTGGTTTCTGTCGGTCATGGGGCTTGAACTCTGGGCCTGGGCACTATCCCTCAGCTCTTCAGCTCAAGGCAAGTATTCTACCACTTGAGCCTCAGCACCACTTCCGGTTTTTGGTGGTTAATTGGAGATAAGAGTCTCATGGACTTTCTTGACTGGGCTGGAGTCAGCCTCCCAACAGGATTACAGGCATGAACCACTGACATCCAGCTCTTTTTTTTTGGAGGGGGAGGGGTCTGGTCGTGGGGCCTGAACTCTGGGCCTGGGCACTGTCCCTCAGCTCTTCAGCTCAAGGCTAGCGCTGTACCACTTAAGCCACAACGCCACTTCTGGCTTTTTTCTTTTTTGCTTATGTGGTGCTGAGGAATCAAACCCAGGGCCTCATGCATGCAAGGCAAGTGCTCTTCCACTGAGCCACCTTCCCAACCCCAACACCCAGCTCTTAATAAGGGGCATTTTTCAAAAGTGAACAATGAATGTATACAGTGCTGACTGGGTGTGTGTGTGGAGGGGAGTACAAGTGGTTTTAGTCTGTAGCCACAGGTTCTCAGACACTTAATTACACGCAGGTACCACCAATGACACTGAGCCTTCTAGCCAAGAGGGGCTCATCACTTAGCTTAGTGGTTTGTCACTTGTCCAGCAAGCCCAAGTACCTGAGTTAAAACTCCAGCACCACCAAAAAGAAGATGAAAAAAAATAACTCCAAATGCCAATAATGTCATGTTTGAGAAACCTATTTGTGCGTGTAGATAATACAGAAAAAAGTAAAAATAAAACCCCAAACATTAACATATTAAGACAGGCACTCACACCTTTAATCCTAGTGCTATGACTCAGGAGGCTGAGATGTGAAGATCACAGTTCAAAGCCAGTCCAGCCCAGGCAGGAAAGCCCATGAGACTCTTCTCTCCAATTAACCATCAGAAAACAGGAAGTGGTGATGTGGCTCAAAGTAGTAAGAGTGCTAGCCTTAAGCAAAAAAGCTCAGAGATAGTGCCCAGGCCTTGATTTCAAGACATTACCATAAAAAAGTAAGAAGATTTAAATTCACTTACATGATTTAGTTCTATGATGATTTTTACTTTATATTCAGAAAAAATAATTTTGAAATAAAACAGTATTTCTTGGTGCTGAAAAAGGACAGTAGGACTTTGTATATACTAAGTGGGTAGTCTATGACTAAGCATTTTGCCCACTCCTACCAGTTAGTCTATGACTAAGAATTTTGTCCACTCCTACCAGTTCAGGTAGAAATTTTTTTCTCAAGATGAACAAGTGTTTTACACATATTAAATGTACTATTCACTGCTTAAGATGGTGTGAAATTTAAGAATTGTGGTGCTACCTTTCGTGGCACATGTGTGAAAAGTGGAATGATACAAAGAAAACTACCATAGTCCTTGCTCAAGTATGATACACAAGCTTAGAATTCCATAAGTCCTGGGGCTTGAACTCAGGGTGTGGGAACTGTCTGAGCTTCTTTTGCTCAAGACTAGGACTCTACAACTTCAGCCACAGTGCAACTTCCAGCTTTTTTCTGTTTATGTGGAATTGAGGAATTGAACCCAGGGCTTCATGCATGCAAGGTAAGCACTCTACCACTAAGCCACTTTTCCAGCCCCATACATTTTTCTTTCTTTTTGGTGCCAGTACTTGGTCTTAAACTCAGGGCCTGGGTGATGTTCATTACTTAGCTCTTTCACTCAAAATTGGAACTTTGGCACTTGAGCCACAGCTCCACTTCTGGCTGTTTGCTGCTAACTGCAGATAGGAGTCTCACAGACTTTCCTGTCTAGGGTAACTGTAAACCATAATCCTCAAATCTCAGCATCCCAATTAACTAGGAAATCAGGCATGAGCAGCTCCTGGACATCAGAGGACACAGAACCAGAGAAAATCTCTTCAAAGTATTCATTGTACAAAGGATTAGCATCTAGAATATACAAAGAACTCCAAAAATTAATTGCCAAAAGAATAATCAAATAAGAGGGCAAACAAATTAAACAGATCTAAGACATAAAAAATGGCTAAAACACACATGAAAAACAATTGACCATCCTTATGCATGAAAGAGATAAATGATCAAAATGACACAAAATTTCATCTGATTCCATTCAGTATGGCTATGTTACTGTCATGAAACAACAAGTCAACTGCTGATAGCTCTCATCTCTAATCATAGCTACTTAGAATATTGCCATTTGGAGGATCAAGATTTGAAGCCAGCCTAGGTATACAAGTCCAGAGATTATCCAGCAAAGGGCTGGGCTGGGAACACTGTTCAAATGGTAGAAATCAGCTAAATGAGCAAGCCCAAGGCTCTGCCTTAGGGTCTTATACCAGAAGAAAAGATTTTTAGAAAAAAACCTGACAAGGATGCGCAAGAGAAAAAAGAAAGGATATACTGTTGGTAAGAATATAAATTAGTCCATCCACTATGGAAACTGGGATGGAACTTCCACAATAAACTAAAAATGTATCATTCCTCATATAACACTCTATGGTATATATACCCCCCAAAAGTCAATCAGTCTACAAAAAAGATACCATCACAGCTATGTTTAAAGTAGCACTATTTACAAGTCAAGCAGAAGCAGCCTAGGTACCCAGGGAACAATGACTGGATAAAGAAAACACCCCCACTCACACACACAATGAAGTATAATTCAACTACAAAAAAAAAAAGAGAATGAAGCAAAGTTATCTGCAAGAAAATAAATGAAATTGGACAACCTACTAGGGGAACACAGAAGGCAAATGTCCATGTTTTCATACATAAGTGGTATCTAAATTTAAGACTTAATCTAAGCCAGGTACCAATGATTCACATTTGTAATCCTAGTTACTCAGGAAACAGATCCGAGGACCCAGGTTTGAAGTCATTCTGGGCATAAAGTCTGTAAGATTCCTATCTTCAATTAACAATTTTTTTTAAAAAGCCAGAAATGAGGGGTACACAGACAAGGAGGGACAACAGGTGAACAAATGCAGCAGTGATACTCACTAGACACTATGTTGTAAATGAACTGTACAACTTGTGAGCAAGGCCAAGAGAGAAAAACTGGGAAGAGGCAAGGGAAGAGTCAAAAGAGGATTGGGTGGGGGGAGAGGGGGGCAGGGGGAGGATGGGAAGGGATTTGAAGGGGAAACAAAGGAGGAGGCTACAATGCTTGATAAGAAATGTATTCATTTGCCCATATAATTGTAACCCCTCTGTACAGTATTTTCACAATAAAAAAAGAAATGTACTCATTTACCTGACTTATGATAACTGAATCCCTCTGTATAACACTTTGTAATTACAATTAAAAAATTAAAAAAATTTAAAGCCAAAAGTGGAGGGGGAAGCTAAAGCTTCTAGAAAAGAATGTGTAAGTATAGCTCGGTGCCCTTGGAATACACATCAGTAAAAGGACATAGGCACATTAATGAAAAAGGAAAACTTTGAAGACATTTATTTGCATGTGAATTTACATGTGTGTATGTGCATACAAACACACAAACATACACACACACTGCCAACAATCAGGAAAAATCTAGAAGCAGGAAATACAAATAGACAATAGCACAACATTTCAGCAGGCACATACAAAATTGGATCTTCACCTGACCAATTAACAAAATTCTGCTCAAACTCAGTCATCATTTGATACAAATTAAAATTACAGGTATAACAACATGCAAATGTGAGGATAACCAAAAAACCACCATGTGAAAAAAGGAAGAGGATAGTAAGGATTGCATTAGGAGAGGAAAGTAGAATCATTACTTGGGCAAGTCTGTGGCAGTATCCCTTAAAGCGGAATTCATGTGTTATCTACAACTCAACAATCACAAGAAAACAATCAATGCACCCACCTGTGAATAGTTTTCCACTCCTGTGTTACAGATTACCACAAAATCAGGGGCTAGAGGCAGCTTGACGTTTAGGAGGACTGTGAGGTCTTTACTTGTCCAAGTTAAGTTGTAAGCCCCCTTGTTCAAAGAAAAAAAAAAGAAAAAAAAACATGAGCAACATGTATATAAGAATCAGAGACATGACATAGCTAGCAAGATCAATAGAAAGCCCACGGATTGGGAGAAGATCTTTACTAGCCATACAACGGACAAGGGTCTCATATCTAAAATATACTTGGAACTCAAAAAATTAAACCCCCCAACAACAAATCCTCAAAGAAACAACTGCCCAATAAATAAGTGGGCGAAAGACTTAAAGAGAAACTTCTCTGAAGAAGAAAGAAGGATGGCCAATAGACACATGAAAAAATGTTCAACATCCCTAGCCATAAAAGAAATGCAAATCAAAACAACATTGAGATATCACCTCACTCCAGTTAGAACGGCAAAAATCAAGAACTCTAACAACAACAGATGCTGGAGGGGATATGGACAGAAAGGAACCTTACTTCATTGTTAGTGGGAATGTAAACTTGTTCAACCACTTTGGAAAGCAGTATGGAGGTTCCTCAAAAGACTTCACATAGAACTCCCCTATGACACAGCAATCCCACTTTTGGGCATTTACCCAAATGTTTACAAACAAGACCACACTAAAGCTACCAGCACAACTATGTTTATTGCAGCATTATTTACCATAGCAAAGATATGGAACCAACCCAGATGCCCCTCAGTAGATGAATGGATCAAGAAAATGTGGTATATATACACAATGGAATTCTATGCCTCCATCAGAAAGAATGACATTGCCCCATTTGTTAGGAAATGGAAAGGCTTGGAAAAAATTATATTAAGTGAAGTAAGCCAGGCCCAAAGAAACATAGGTCCCATGGTTTCCCTTATATGCAATATCTTGTATACGTATGAGTCAAGCGGAGAAGGTCAGATAATGTGATGTTAGGAAAACGAACCCTTAAATATGTATTTTAATGTTTTTGTTTCTTTCATGCATGTGTTTCTAATGCATTTATAAGATTATCTCTTTGTTGCTTTGTATGTCCCTCCCCCACAGTGTAACCCCTGCTTTCACTATATTTGATGTCAGTATAACTTGTGGAGGAGATGGGGACAAACAAGTCGTTTAAGGATTCAGGTGGACCTGTTGCAACAATGAGAAGTACAAAATGTCATGTCAAAAACGAGCTTTACAATGTCGGTGTGGGGGGGGGAGGGGGGGAAAGATGGGGGGAGGGGGGAGGCTGGGAAGGGAGGTGAAGGGTAAACAAAGGAGGAGGCTGCAATGCTTGGTAAGAAATGTATGCATTATCCTGCCCATGTAATTGTAACCCCTCTGTACAGTATGTTCTCAAATAAAATAAAATAAAATTAAAAAAAAAGAATCAGAGACATATCTTTGTACAATTAAATTATGCTAATGATTTTTTACTTTTTGTGCCAGTACTGGAACTTGAATTCAGAGCCTAGACATTGTCCCTTAGCTTTTTCTGCTCAAGATGGGTGTTGTATCATTTGAGCCACAGCTGCATCTCCAGCTTTCTTTTTTTTTTTTTTTGGTGATTAATGGGAAAGAAGAGTTTCACAGACTTTCCTTCCTAGAATGTCTTTGAACAAGGATTTTCCAATCTCAGCCTTCTGAGTAGCTAGGATGACAGGTGTAATCTACCAAAACCTGGCTGAAATTTTTTTCACATTTTTTTATTGTGAAAATACCGTACAGAGGGGTTACAATTACATGTGCAAGATAATGAGTACATTTCTTATAAAGCATTGTTGCCTCCTCCTTTGTTTCCCCTTCCCATCCCTTCCCATCTTCCCCCACCACGTCCCCTCCCACCTCCCCCCTTGCGCCATAGTTGTAAAGTTCGTAAGTTATAAAGTCCGTTTTTTGACATAATGTCATGTATATCTCATTGTTGCAATGGGTCTACCTGTATCCCTATTTAAATAATTGGTTTTTTCTCTTCCTGTCCCCAAATTATACCAACATCAAATACAGTGAAACAGGGGTTATACCCTGGGGGAGGAACATACAAAGCAACAAAGAAATCATCTTATAAATATGTTAGAAACAATAGCAAGAAAGAAAAAACATTTGAGTCCTTATCTTGGGGTTCATTTCACCTAACATCAACTTATCTGACCGTTTCTGCTTGTCTCAGACATATACTAGTTATTACAAATAAGGGAAACCATGGGACCTATGTTTCTTTGGGCCTGGCTTACTTCACTTAATAGAATTTTTAGAAGATAAAAAAATTAGTAAAATTTATGTAGGTATCTATGAGTGAGCAAGAAGTTGCACATGCTAAGGTGAAAGTCAGCCATTATCCCCCTCATAGTTCTTTCACTCAAAGTCAGAGCACAGCCTGGCTGCCTTTCTCCCTTAGCAACACAGGTGATGGGAGAGGTTATATTAGCAGACTCTGGGGAAGAAGGCCTTCCAGATCTATCAAGTCATCAGCCTATTTGAGTTCCCTGCCACTGGAGGACTGAGGCCCTCATTCTGTTACTGCTTGTAAACTGG